ATAGATAGATAGATAGATAGATAGATAGATAGATAGATAGATAGATATGGATAGATATGGATAGATATACATATATGTACAATATTCATAGATATACATTATGAAATTCCCAAGTAAAGAAACTCTCTCTACCAATGCTGGCAGGTACCTTCTCTTCAACTTATCATTTTGGAATATAGAGAGATTAAGTGACTTTCCCAGCCAGTATGTATTGGGAGAGGAACTTGAACTCAGTTCTTTCTGGCTCCGAGGCCAGCTTTCTATTCACTACACCATGCTGTCTACAACATATAAATTAAGTAAGTACAAAGTAATTTGGAAAGGTTGCCATATAGAAAAGGGAATAAGCTTGTTCTGAGTTGACCAGACAGTAGGATGAGAACCACCAATAGACAAATACCCATAAAATAGATTCCAGGATTGAGCAGGAGATAGAGGATGGCTCAAACTCTTCCCAGCTCTAATATTCTATAACCCCTTGACATTTCAGTGTTCCTGGAGCTTATGGGCTAGAGCAGGACTTCTATATAGAAGTTTTGAATTCTATACAGAATTTTCCTTGGTAGAACCAGAGTTTAAACTTAGACCACTTATGGAACTACAAAATGAGAAAGGTTTTTCACACTATAAGTGTGAACATTCCCATACAACCAGTACAGAAAGGAAATAAATAAAGGTGAAAGAAGGGACCGAAAGAAAAAATTGAGTCTCCCATGTAAGCCTAAACTGGTCTATTCACTCTCCCTCAAACATACCTGTTCTTGCTTCCATTCTTGTGATGCCACCTAGACAGAATATCCTCCATTTCCTCTTGGCTTAACCAAATCCTATAAAGCTAAGAGTCATCTCCTGAATGTAAATTCTTGTAAATGCTCTAGCCCTATATTCCTCATTGAGTCATAAAGCTACAGACTATTCAAGTTGGAAGATCATTAGAGATCATTTAGTCCAACCCCATCATTCTACAGATGAGGAAAATCACCTAAGGTCACCCAACTGACTCAGTAGCTGGACAGGGACTAGAAACCAAGTCTTTGATTTCTCAAGCCAATGGTCTTTTTTACTATATTATGCTGCATAGAGCTAGTTCAGCAGCAGCTATATTAAAATATGGTCAGTATGGAAATAAAATTTTTAAATAGCATAAACTTTTTTAATATAACTATTTAACATTTATTGCCTCGTTTTGTCTGCCTTGTCTTCTTATAATTGCCATATTTTTTTTCATGTGTATATATCTTGTCTCCCCAGCCAGGATGAGGGCAAGGTCTAGGTCTTATGTTTCTCTGTATCCTTCATAGCACTCAGTGCATCCTTGGTATTCAATGTATTTTATGAAAATGAAAGAAAATAACAAAACCAACTTGGCCATTAACAACTCTCCAAAAGAATGAGAGGTGTTCCACATAGATTCCTTGAAGTGAGCCATCACCTACTTTAACTGAGTGAATTCTTCAGATGAGGAAAAATAAAGTCTAATTTATTTCCTTTTACTACTTGTACCACTTAACGGAGAAGCAGCTAGGGTAAAAGAAAAAGTGGGTGGGCTACTTTGTGTTTAGTGTTTTGCTCTTTTACAAGATTAATTTATAATTCACAGGAAACTCTGACTCATGAGACTCTTCCCTTTAGTACTTCATCTTTCTAAAACTGCCCATGTTATCTAAGTGATGCTTATGGTCCCATTTTCCTTCTAACTCTCCCTACAGGTCAGATGCCTCCCTATATTGTGATGATGTTGACATCCGATTCAGCAAAACCATGAACTCCTGTAAAGTCCTGCAGATCCGTTATGCCAGTGTGGGGCGACTTCTGGAAAGGCTCACGGATCTAAGGTTCCTGAGCATAGATTTCCTCAACACATTCTTGCATTCCTACCGAGTGTTCACAACAGCTGTGGTGGTTCTGGACAAGCTCATCACGATCTATAAGAAACCTATCAGTGCAATACCTGCAAGGTAAGACTAGAGAGGTCAATGTTTACACCACTGGAACCATCGCCATTGTTACCAGCTATTAGGACCCAAACATATTCCATACTTCTGAATCTGAGTGATGAGTATATACTAATCTCTTTCATTGGTAGCTTCATTTCTGTTTTGATTCATGAGTCACCCTGTCAATTTTAATGCCAGTAGACCAACTGGACTATATACTAATTATTAAAAAATCAAGAGATTCCATTAGCATTGGCTTCATAATTTTCAAAATCAGGCAGCACCAAAAGATGAATGGAACCTATTTTTTTCCTTTACAATCATAGGATTGTAGGTTTAGGATTGAAACTCACTGAAAGACCATCTAGTCTAAACCCTTCGTTCTACAGGTAATACGTGCATAGAAGAATTTAAACCCAAGCCTTCTGAATCCAAATCCAATGGATCAACTTTTTTAGAACCAAATTAATAATTTTTATGAGAAGCCAGAATTACTTTCTTCTCACGGATCATGGTTTCTCAGAGTTAGAAGGGACTATAGCATCACTAATCTAGAGCAAGAATGGACCTCCAAGATCATATGGTCCAACCTCCTCGTTTTACAGATGAGGAACTCGAGGCCCAGGGAAGTCATTTGACTTGCCCAAGCTCACACAAGTAGCAAGTGATTTGAACCCAGATCAGGGAACCTGGGTTTTCCTCCAATTTTTTCCACTGTACCATATTGCTCACAGAGGTCATCATTCCCAAAAATTGGTCCTTTTAGAACTGAGGAAATCAGTAGCCTAGCTTTTCAGTTGTTGTTGTTGTTTTTTTTACTCATCAGCCTGCAAACATTTTTATTATGGATTTCAGTATTATCAATCAATCAATAAATAAGCATTTATTAAGCACCTACTGTGTGTCAGGCACTGCGGCCCACTGATCATGTAGCTTGCTCATGATCAGAAAGCCAGGATCATAGTGATGTCAGACCCTATACTGGAACCCTCATCACGCCAAGTCAATGTTCTTGGTACCAAACCAATAGATAGAAACAAGACTGATTTAATCATGTCTTGTTCTAGAAATCACTTTTCTGACATTCAACTATTGAAGTCAAGTAAGTGAAAAAATCACTGAAACAAAGTCTAAACCTTAGTAAATAAAAAACTAGCAAAGGTCTAAGAGGACAGAAAATGAAACATAACTCCTCCTTCATGAGAGAAAGGCTGCCTAGAAGGACAGAATATTGTATACGTTACCAGAAACTGTTACTGTATCTGATTTTTTTTACCTAATTGGTTTTCTTTTTGTCACAAGGAAGGGTTCAATCTGGAAGGGCAGGGTAGAGTGAATTACCAATAGGGACTGGACCTGTGATTTCATAGGGAACTCTCAGGTAAGGAAACTCCTTCTACAAATTCAGGTCAGCCCATTCTCTGAAATTTATCATCTTAGAGAGTTACCTAGAGCACTGAGAGATTAAGTGATTTGCCTAGGGTCACACAGACAGAATAAGGCACAGGCATAACTTCAGCTCAGGTCTTCTTGGCTTCAGGCTGGCTCTGTATACCCTGAGCCATACTGCCTTTCATAGAGTGAAATAACCATGACATAAAAATAAAATAAATTAATAAAACTTTAAAAAACAAAAACAAAAAACCTTTTCCTATGGTCAGATTTCTGTTAGGCCTTGGATTCTTTGGACTGGGTTCATCTATAGAGCTACTCTAAACAAAATGTATGTACTTATATATTAGAGCAAATATATACAAATAAATAGAGTGTAAAATTTAATATAACATGAGTCCTATATAAGGACCTACTGAAAGAACCATGTTAAAATTTAATCTTCCCTGGGCATGGTGATACATACCTGTAATACCTACTGCTTTAAACCCCCTACTACTGGGGAGGCTGAGGCTGACAGATCTCTTAAGCTCAGGAGTTGTAAGTTTCAATGGCATATGGCTAAGTTCATCAAGTGTCCATACTAGGTTCAATATTAATACGGTAAGCCTCTTGGAGTAGGAGGATGGTGCCACCATGTTGCCTAAGAAAGGGTCAAAAACAGAGCAGATCAAAGCTCCCAGCATCAGAGTGATATCAGGCCAGTGGGTAGTGTCTACACATCTAGCCTAGATAAAATAGGGAGACCTAGTCTTAATTTTTTTTTCATTTAAAAAATTATTAAGCATAGTCTTAGCTAGAATGGAGCTCCAAGACAGAGTGACCTCAAAAACTGTTGCCCTATTAAAATTGGGATATCCAGGAACCTAGCCTGCAGTCAGATTTCCCAGCTATATGAAGCCTTTTTAGCTGAGCTAGGGCTTACCCATACAGCAGTAGAGAATTTGCTTATTGTACTCACAGGAGGTAAGGTAATGGTGAAAATACTCATAAAGAGAAAGAAAGATGGAAAATTCTATTTGTCTGCCTCTATTTACCCCCATGATCATGTCCTGTATATCCATACCCCCCACTATCACCTCTTCATGCACCACATAATCAATGTCAACTCTCTCTTCTGTTCCCCTTTTTAATAAACTATACCCAATGCAAAAATACTGACCTCAATACCTTTACTGCATCTCTGGCTGAATACCTTGAAAATAGTCGCTTCTCAAGTGAAACATGTTTCCAACTTAAGATTTCATTTGGCACAAGTTGGGTCAGACAAGGAGGAAAAGATTATTAAGTGCTTTCTTTTACATTCTAGGTTGCACCTCCATAGGGCAGCTAATACGTTATCTTGTGGAATCCCACTCTATCTGACAGGTGTCAAGCAATTAAATTCTAGCCACCAAACACACCTTGACAAAGAAACACTTCTTCCTCCTCAGCAGCCCCTAGAAACACTCTCATTGTGTACCCTAAAAGGAAGGGAGGGGCTCCTTCCCTCCAGGCTTCAAGAGAACAGAAGCTATTGGAATGACAACTACTAAGCCCAAAGTGGTCCTCAATCCCTCTTCTGCTGCATGTTTACACTGCATGGTTCTGGAAGTATGGGCCATTCAGAGAACAAAGATGTGTAGGCTTTTAAACCTCTTCTCTCTCATCCTATCCTCAAGTAACCCCTCTCCACATAACCTCTTGGTTCCAGGCCCAAAACCCAAAAGAAGACATGGGAGAAATAGGAAGGACACATGATAAGGGTTGGAAAATATAGTCAACAGAGTTGTAATGGGAGCAGGGTCCATGTGCAGACTCCCATTGGTCAAAGAGAATAATTCATTTGTTAGTTACAGCAATGCTCAAGATGAAAACTTGGGAAGATAGCGACATCAGGTGGAAGATGCTAGAGAGCTGCTTTCAGGCAAATTATTATATTATGTAAGGAAAGTGAAGAGACTGGAGGAGGCATGGACATTCTATAAGTGTTTCCAGGCTGCTAACCACATTTTTGGATTGGCGGAAGAGGCTTTCAAAAAGCCTTATATGGTACACATGCAGACTCCTATTACATCGGTGAATTTGACCAGACAGTTCAGGCCAAGCCTCATTTGCTGTACTTTGGGTCCAAGGGCTGATTTCTCAGCTTATTCAAAGGTAATCAGGGTCTGGTAAAATAAGCCACTTACACTCCCAATACTAATACAAGATTAGACTGGTTGAACTAGAAAGCTGCTTTATTAATTTGTAATAAGAAATAGAGTGATAATAATTTGTAATGAAAATTATAGCACTGACTGACCAATATTTGCATTGGCCAATCAGTGCTTTCTATTCCCAGTAGGTAAACCTACTTTTAAACACAAAATGAGATCAGAAGGTTGCTTATTAAATATTTAATTTTCTTAACTGTAAAATGAAGAGATTTGGCTAAACATTACTCAACAAATACTTACAAAGTATCTATTATGTACCAGGCACTATTAGGTGCTGGAAATAGTTACAAAATTAAATAATCCCAACTCTCAAGGAGCTCCCATTCTGTCAGGGAAACAACATGTATAAACATGAGCATATACAGAATAAATACAAAGCAGTTAAACATAAAATAATTAGGGAGAAAGGGGGGAAGGGATCAGGAAAAACTATGTGTAGAAAGTTATGGAGTCTACAAAGTGGAGGTAAGGAGAAAGGCATGTGGGCAAACCAATACAAAGGCACAGAAATGAATGAAAGAATGTTGAATGTGAGGAACACGGAGAAGGCCAGCATTACTAGACTGTGGAAAAGATGAGAAAGTTAGATTGAGATCAGATTTTAAAGGGCTTGAAATGCCAGACAAAGGAGTTTACATTTTATCCTAGAGACAATTGGAAACTACTGAAGCTTACTGAGTAGAGAACTGTGCTTTTAAAAAATCATTTTGGCAGCTATATGGAGAATGGACTGCAGTGGGAAAAGATAAAGCAAGGAAACTAAGTAATAGACAGTCACAATAGTCTAGGGGAAAGATGATGAAGGCCTAAACTAAGGTGGTAGCTTTGTGAGTAGGGAGAAGAGAGCATATATGAGAAATATTTTGATAATAGAAACATGATTTGATAACAGATTATATATGGGGTGAGTGTGAGGGAAAAGTTGAGAACGACACTGATGTTGTGAGTGTGACTATGAGGTTGGTGGTACCCTTGACAGTAATTTTAAAGAAAGGAGAATTTGAAGGGAAAGATAAAGAATTCTGTTTTGTACATGCTGAGTTTGTGATGCCTGTGGGAATCCAGTTCGTGATATCCAAATGCAGCTGGTGATATGGGATTCAAGCTCCTGAGAGAATGAGATTGGATATGTAGATCTGGGAATCATCTGAACAGAGGTGATAATTAAACCTGTTAGAGTTGATTGAATCACTGAAAGAGAGATTACACAGAGAGGGGTCAGGGGTCATATTGAGAGTAAAGAGGTGCTTGGTGTATATTCACAGTGAAGGGGTGTGATGTGGATCATGAAAAAGCAAAAGAGACTTAATAAGGAGGGAGGCATCTGATAGGTACAAGGAGAACCAGGAAGGAGTAGTGTTATAAAAACCCAGAGAAGAAAGAGTAATCCTGGAGAAGAGGGTGGTCACAATGTCATGGGTCCCAATCTCTGAACTTCTCTGAGTCTCAGTTTCCTCATCTACAAAATGATTATATTAATGCTCACATTAGCTGCCTTGCAGAGTCATTGTAAGGCATGGGCTTTGCAAACTACAACAGAATATATGGATATGAGCTCTTGGCAAGGAACAGGTGACTCTTGGGATTTGGCCAACACAAAACAATGGAAAAATAGAACCTGACATTCTTTTTGGCAGAAAGAGAATAAGTTTTTGTTTCCCAACAGGTCACTGGAGCTCTTATTTGCCAGCGGCCAAAACAACAAGCTTCTGTATGGTGAACCTCCTAAGTCCCCAAGAGCCAATCGCAAGTTCTCCTCCCCACCACCTCTGTCCATTACCAAGTCGTCTTCACCAAGTAGAAGAAGAAAGCTTTCTTTAAATATCCCCATCATCACTGGAGGGAAAGCCTTGGATCTGGCTGCTTTGAGCTGCTCTTCAAATGGCTATGCAAGCATGTATTCTTCCATGTCACCCTTCAGTAAGACCACGCTGGACATCGGCAAATCATATGTATTCAGTAACTTTCCTAACAAGATACCCGACGAGGGTGAAGGTACAGCTGAAAAAATAGAAGACTCAAGCCCCAACAAACAAAGTAAGTTGGTTTTTTTCTTCTTAAGAGACTAGGTCTCACTCTCTCATCCAGGCTGAATATGCAGGAGCTATTCATAGGCCCAATCCCACTACTGTTTGACCTATCTATTTCCTACCTAGGCTGGTTTGCCCATCCTCGAGAACCTGGTGGGTTCTCAAATGAATTCTGAACATAGTATAGACACCTGATTGGCATAGCCCAATGCAGCTCAGAACTCCAGAGTTCAGGAGATCCACCAGCCTCAGCCTTATTAGTAGCAAGGGTTACGGGAACATACCACCATACCCAGTTGTAAGTCAATATTCTTACACAGAGGGTCTCATAACCCAAATCATAAACAAAACCATGGTCTGAGCAGAGACCAAGAACAGATAGAGTTGTGAGTTTCAAAAGAAATATGTAGGAATCATCTCAACAGTGGAATCTAGAAAAGTACAGGTCACTTGGACTTGACCAAAAGATTCAGTTAGTCCAATTTACAATACCCAGGCCACAAATAGGAAGCACTGATATTTAGAAGAATTCTGCCATTCTCAGGGCAGTCTTAATGAGTCAAAGCTGACCTTAGAACAGCCAAATCTTTTGGTCCCAATCCAATTTTCCTTCATTCTTGTAGATTTAGTGAGTGTGTCATTTTGCTTCAGCAATCTATAAATTTCAACTTCATTGGACTTCCCAAGCAGAGTCATAAAGCTGACCAACAAAAAACAATTTGTGGGTGCAGAAGAAAGATGTAGGTGAGAGGCGTGGGTGAGGCAAAGAGCATGTATTATGTAAAGAATCAGGGGGAAGCCACCAACAGCAGTGGCACTGAGAACCATGAGTGACGAGGGAAAGCTGATGAATCATAGTACAGAGCTTTGCGGAGGCCAGAAGGCAGATCTACACCCACAGAGTTGGGATTATACAACATGACTAAATAAGGAATTGAAGGAAATTGACCACAAATAGGTATCCTCTGGGAAATAGGAAGCCAAACACATCACTATCCATCTGCAGTGTGCCCTGTTTTTTCCCCCACTATAGCTAAATAGGTACATGATTTTAAATCAAAGTAAAAATAAGTTTTCCATATATATCAGCAGAGTTCACCATCAGAGATTTGCCTAGGCACTGGGAGACTCCCAGGAACTAACCTAGAAGCCATTTAATGGCATCTCAGTTCTATGTTCTATCTCATAACTCTCTCCTGCTTGCCCACATGACTTACTGTTCAAATTCAAAGACCACTACCCAGTTCAACCAAGAATAACTGGTACTTTATTGTTTTAAACACACCCAAACTGAGTCATAATATTATTACCAATAATAATGTGTGTGTGAGAGAGAGAGAGAGAGATAGAGAGAGAGAGAGAGAGAAAGAGAGAGAGAGAGAGAGAGAGAGAGAGAGAGAGAGAGAGAGAGAAGAGATAGATTTCTTATCTTCGGCACTAATAAGCATTCTATGATTCTGAGACAGAGATCTTGAACCAAGGTACCAGTTATCTACTTTATGTGATATTTCTCTTAAGGTAATGTCGTTTGGAGAAATCATCTTCTAGGTCAGGCCTATCAATAAATTAAAAAAAAAAACATTAGAAATGAGGTAGGAAGGAAGACATATGAAATAGGGTCATCATGAAAAATTAATTTAATTTAATTTAATTTAACAAACATTTATTAAGTTCCTGCTATGTGTGAGGCATTACACTGGGCTCCATAGGTATAAGGACAAAAATGAACAGTGTTTCCTGTCCTCAAGGAGCTTAAACATTCTACTGAGGAATAAATTAGGTTAATTAACTCTAGCCTATTTGCCTGTGGACTTGAAAAAAATAAGATTGACCTAACAAAAGTCAGGTAATAGACTTGAAAAAAAGATTAAAATATTATGAATCTCCTTTCTCCATTACCTTTGTTCTCTTTGTAGATAGTCTTTCATTCATTCATTCAGTATCCTATTAATGTGAAAAAAAAAACAAAAACTCGAGTATGTTTGCTACAAGTAGAACTTTATAGCTTGCCGACTTAAGAATGCAAATGAATAGGATAAAAAAAATATTTGGGGGCCAAATTTGTCTTTCCCTTGAAAAATGATTCATAATGATTTAGTAAATTCTAATAACTATATATGTTAGCATTCAATTCAGCATAAACCTACTATGTTCAAGGCATTATTCTAGGTACTGAGGAGTACAAAGACAAAAACTAAACAATTCCTGCCATCAAGGATCTGGCATTCTACTAGGGGGAATACTCCATATACCAGACAAATATGGCATAAGGGAGGCACAATGAAGAGTAAATGAAAGGTGCAGACAAGGTATTCTAGGAACATTTACAAGAGAATTCTGAACTTTCAGCTGGGGGAATCTGGGAGGGTTACATGTAGGAGGTAGCACCTGAGCTGAGACCTCCTTGAAAGAAGACAAGGATTCAGAAAGGTTGAGATGAGGAATAGGTGGATTCAGGCATGGAAAAAGATCATACTCTGCAAATTTACAGAGGCAAGTGATGGTCTATTGAATTCAGGAAACATCTAGTGGTCTAATTCTGATGAGAAAACAGGGAATATTTTGATAGCAATGGAAACTCAGATTCTAAACATGGACTCCAAGAAAACCATCTGCCCTAGGGACAAATCAGAACAGAAGCTTAATAACAATGAGAGTTCCAAGAGCAGTACATTGTTTGTACTGATTGGCAGGGTTCTTATCTGCATCTGCCTGGCTTCTTTTCTAGCATCATAACTGATTTGCTTCATGTTTCTCAGGAAAGACTGTTCCTGTTCCATATGATAGATAGATAGATAGATAGATAGATAGATAGATAGATAGAGCATTTATTGAGTATTTACTATATACAAGGCACTGTGCTAAATTCTCAGGATATAAAAAACAAGCAAGGAAGCAAGCCAGCCCCTGCCATCAAGATACTTACAGTCTAGTGAGGGAAGACAAAACAAAAGCTAGAGAAGAAAAGGAAAATGAGGCAGCTGGTAAAGAGAAGAAAAAGAAATTCAGAGAGTGGAGATGAGTGAAAGACTAAAGTCAGATAAGTTATAAGTTACCCATTTCAAATATTTTCAGGCCAATAAAAAAATCAATGGGCCACTTGATCTGGATGTCTAAGTTTTGCCCAGTCACTACATATAGGAGGAGTTCATTTCTTATAGATAGCTATTGATTTTATATTTTAAAAAGGAAAAATGGCTCTCAGGATATTTTAGTCAGTAGAATAAGGGATTTAAATTTATCACTGGTTTAATACAATTCAGTCATCTTAACAACCAAAACAACCACATCCTGATATCACTAATGGAATCAACCCCAAAATCATTGACACCAAATCAGGGTGCCTAGATCAAGTAGTTCCTATAAAGACTTTTGAACAAATAGTATAAATAATTGTAATTTGCTATAAGAGCTATGAAAAAATAGCCTACAAATTAATTAGATCAGACATTTTAAAAATCAATCTGACAAGTAAGAATTTTGTTTTAATTCTAGGTAAAACACTTTCAGGTCCATATCTTCCATATCTTCATTCTAGGCGTCTTATAATACAACTTAGTGTGCTAGACTAGAGATTCCCAAACTATCTTGGTTCATAAGCACTTTAGATTTAGTAATTTTTTCACTGTGCCCCCTAGACCAAATGAAATACCTAACAGTTCTGTTCATTAAATAGTTAGGTTGAAAATATTAAATAGCCCATAGCACCCCTACGAGTTCTCTGGATTGTGAACAGTTTGGGAACTGCAGCATTAGACCATTTTTAATTCCTTCTGTTTTGAAGTCCCAGATCCTGAGTTGTATCCATGAGCACAAGCTGAAGATCATTGCTTGGGCAGAGAACAGGCAGGGCAAGAGAAAAGCTCACCCCAGCCCACTATATGCTACCCTTCTGCTTTATTCTTGGTGACTAGATGCTAATCACTTTTGTTTCTACACCACTGAAGGACTGCATGTGCTTTCAGTACCCTCTACATTCCACATCCTGGTTCAAAAACCTAGTCAGTCACCCCACCCTAATTATGGTTCGGACAACCTCCTATGGTGAATAAACCACAAATTTATTAGATGATTTCTGGTGAGTTTCCTTAAAAGTCGGTAACCACAGTAACTGTCCACAAAATTACGCTTATTAATTGTTCAAATGCAATGCACAGAATCACTAAAGGGGAGCCCTGAGTTTCATCTGATAGAAAACATGATGATAATTCTTATTGAATGATTATAGATTATAGAAAATTTTAATTGTTCAGCTTTCCAAGCTACAAAAATGAATTTGCATTTCTGAATGGAATGGAAGAGGAAAATTAAACCATTTTTGTTTTCTCCTAGGCTCAGAGGTCTCGGTAAGAGAAGAGTCAGATAATGATCAAAACCAAAGTGATGATGCAGACACAGAAACTTCACCAACTAAGTCTCCAACTACTCCAAAATCAATCAAAAGCAAAAATGCTTCAGGTATTATTTATTACAAATCAAAAATGCAAACACATTCAAAATGGTTTAATTAAATTAATGAATGATGAGATTTTATTAGCAATAAAGTTAGAGCTATTTTATTCATTGCCTGTAAATTAAGGAGTTGAACTAGGTTATCTCTTTCACATGCTTCAGCTCCAAATCTATAATCCTGTGATGGTTGATATTTTAATACTGGATTCATGAAGGCAATTGTCATCCTATGGTGCCACTGCAAAAGACAATATTTGGTCAGCCTACTGTAATATTTCTTGGATTTTTATATTATAAGTATAAATCATAAATCTAATCCATCCCAGTCAAATAAACAAGTTTGCCCAATGTTAGAGATTACCAATGATATTAACTAGTGTTATAGGCTGAAGTCCTTTAGTCCATAAAAAAAAATTACAATATTTTGTGGGTCATAAAGATGGCCTGAGTGCATTGCAACAGGCTGGGTTTCTTGATCCCTCAAGCTATGTACTTGTCACATTCCTGGGTTCTCACAATCTGGATACCCAGTTCCTAGTCTGTACCCTGAAGGTCAAAGTCATCATACCACATGTACTTTTGAAAAAGTACAAATAAATAGTCATTAAGGTTAGAAGGGACAGGATAGAGGATAACTAAAAATGGTTTCAAGTTACAATATGAATTTCCAAAATATAAAATCATTCTCAATAGAAAAAAAGATAGTGCGAAACAGAACTTCATAAATAAACCATATAAAATTCATGTTGAAGTTTCTGGTATTTTGGACAGAAAGAGTGAGTTGATTTACAGAGCCTAGAGGTGCTTATTTTCCAAGCATAACAGTGAAGGGGTTACATTTTTAAATGTGACAGGGTTAGCCTACAGCTTCCCAAAGTAAGAATTCCAGATTTAGAACTAGAAGGGACCTTAAGAATCTTATCCAGTTTAACTCCTTTGCTTTATACATGAAGAAACGGAGGCCAAGGAAGGCTATCACTTGAATAAATTCACACATAACCGGTAATTGACAGAAATAGGGTTCAAAGCCCAGTCTTCTGACTTCAAAACCTGCCTTCTTCCCACCACACCATATTGAACAATCATATCCCCATAAAATATTCATGATACACTGACTCTGCAATAATTCTGGCTGGCTCAGGTCTTTCCACCCACCTGCCTCTACCATTTTTTAACCCCCCGGTACTCCCATACATTTAAAGGTGGACCACTTCACAGAAAATATCGAGAAACAAAATATTGAAAGCCTTCAAATAAGGTTCTATCAGACCCACCCTAGAGACATATTAAGCCTAAAAGAAAAGACAAATAAGTAATTTAAAAGACATCTTCATAAATATCTTTCTATTTCATGAGAATAGCAGACAATCATTTTACATCTCTTCTAATGCAAGAACAAAAGGGAATTAATTTATTTTACTATGGTGGCAACTGAATTTATACCTTAAAAATTCCCAATTAAAGACTGTATTATTCCCTATAAAGACTGTACTAGGAAGATTAAAATTGCCTTTCCCAATTATAAGTCTTTAAGCTTAAGAGAAATACCCAAATAACCAAAATGTCTTAGAAACCATATCATACTGGACTGGTTTTGAAGCTGTTCCTAGGCCTTAACATAGTTTTCTCAGAGCTGAAGGGAAAGAGGGCTACTTTTGACCCTTCTCAGTGGAATGATCAGATCGTAGAATGTCAAAGCTGGCAGGGACCTCAAAGATCATATAATCCAATCCACTCATTTTACAGATGTGGAAACTAGACCAAAGAGCTAAAGGTGAAGTGAACTAATGGTTTGCTTTGTTCTTTCTCATCACCAGAATTTTCACTATTTTCTTATAATAATGGGGTTGTGATGACTTCTTGTCGAGAACTGGACAATAACCGGAGTGCCCTCTCAGCTGCCTCAGCTTTTGCCATAGCAACTGCTGGAGCCAACGAGGGCACACCAAATAAAGAAAAGTACAGAAGGATGTCTTTAGCAAGTGCAGGTATGTGGGATAATTTTCAGGGTTCTCTGGGAAATCAATCTCTCCAGGATCAACTGCCCAAAGATCCCCAAATCATATGATGATCCTGTGATAGAGGTTTGGTCTCTCTTTAGCATCATCTTCAAGTCCTACCAAAGGCTGAAAGAGTCTCAAAGGCAAGAGAGTCTCTAAGAAGAGAAAGTGTCATCAAAGGGTGACCAAGGGGGAGAGTACATTTGGAAGCATTACCGTAAGTGTACTTAGAGAGCACCCTGAGGGTTTTTTCCCCCTTTTAAGGCCATTGTCTTAAAAAAAAATTAACTGACCAAGAAAGGGTAAGTTCCCTTCCCTTCACAGGCAGGAACAATATTCAAGTCTCTGGACAGTTTGCCCAATGTATGATCCTTAAATTTGGAAGGTCATAGTGTTTTTCTGTCAACTGGGAGTTTTCTTTAAAAAAAAGTTGGAGGGTGGAGGGGGAGTGTCAGCTCCTTCATGCCATTGTCATGAATCAGAAGTTCATGAGCCTTAGCACAAAGGTTTGTATGTATAATAAGTGCTTAATAAATGTCGAAACTAGATTTCTGAAAAGGCCACAATTATAAGAAGTCTTTCAGCAAAAGACCCAGCTTAAACCCAAGGCTATTCCAACTCTACCCACAACCCAAGCCCCTGTGTGGGTGACAGACATGTCTAAAGCAAGCAGCTTGCACTTCCAAGTTCAAACCACAATGTGACAATCATGGCACAGCTGGGTTAGATTTGAAGGCCATTTCTCTACTACACCAGCACTCATCTCAGTATTGCAAGGAGCTCTGATTTCATCAGAATAGTTACTGTCTGCACTAGCATGTATTGTGGATTACAATTCTTTTATAGTTTAACAAACTGTCTTTGTGAGTTGCTATGCCTCAAGAAAAAAGAAGATCATTCTATGATCTTTCTTTCTTGTAGTGACCCTCTTCAAACTTAGGTCTTGGTACTCTGATGACAGGTGTCACAGGCCTGAACTCAAAGTTTTGATAGCTAGCAAGGATCTGTTAGAGTATGCCCTCTACTGGCAATAGCCTTGGAGAACCTGAGGGCACCTCTTGAACTAAATGGAGATGAATATCCATAGTCTGGTGAGACATCAGATTAGTATTTTAGTGGGAAGAAACACAGATATAACTAATTTAAAATTTATTTAAAAAATTAATCAATTTTCTTTATCTTATTATTTAGTTGTTTTCAGTTGTGTCTGACTCTTCATGACCCCATTTGGGGTTTTCTTGGGAAAGATACTGGAGTGGTTTTCCATTTCCTTCTCCAGCTCATTTTATAAATGAGGAAACAGAGACAAACAGGATTAAGGGACTTGCCCAATCTGAGGCTGGATTTGAACTCAGGTCTTCCTGACTCCAGGCCTGGCACTCTATCCGCTATGCCACCTAGCTGCCACCATGCCAAATAAACTATCTAAATGATCAATGAACTGACCAAGTATTTGTTTGAAGAAATTGGCTAGTGTTAGGGGTTTGGGTCAGGGGGTGTAGCAACAGGAAGGTTGACATTGTGAAGAAAGACCAAGTGGTTTCCATGGGGAAAATCTTCACACTATAAGCGTGGAGAAGACAGAAGAAAAGAGACCTCAAGAGTTCAGGAGAAAAAAAAATGTAACCAGAAAGAAAAAGTAAAAGCACTAGGTTTCGCAGAGTGGACTTACTTTTTTACTCTCCATGCATCAACTGTTTCTCTCTCCAGGCCATTTGTTTTCTTCCTTCTGCCTCAGTTGCATAATAGGAAGTAAAACCCTAAAGTGCAGGTGGAGGCCAATATGAATAGAACTAGGGGAAAAGGGAAGAATATGTGGTTTATGGTCCAGGAGATGGTTGGTCATGTGGCAAGAACAAGGGATAACAAAAGATGAAAACTTAGGCAAGTTTTGCACTTATATCTACAAATTATTAAAAGACCCAAGCAAAGAACTATGGAATGGAGATATCTCTGTTGCTATCAAAGAAACTTGTATGATCTTAATGAGAGACACCTTGTTGGAGAAAAGTCACTAAGGTTGCATTTTGTTTTACAAATGGTGCTTTGTTTTTGTTTTCTTTTGGTCATCAAAAAACAATAAACAGCAGCGTTTTATATTCTCCACACCTCTCAGTAAATTTTGTGACTGTAAAGAGAAACTGTGCTATCATCTAGGAAATCATCTAGGAAAGTCTACCCATTCCTTTCTCATATTTTCATCAAGCAAACCTTGATATGTGCATAGACCATTCTCATAAGTATTTTCTAGAGATAAGGAAGTAGATAAATGAATCAATAGTTCCACCATCCCTTATATATTGTAGGTGCTTGATCACTATTTGTTGAATTGTGAATTTTGTAATATCTCTTTTAGATATCTTGAAAATTGATTCATGAGTATCACCTTCAGATTGTGCTTCACTTTTATATATTTAATGGATTCATCTACTTTTCCCCACCTCATTTTCTTGATTTCTATTTCTGCTTCATAGTATAACATACCAGGTACAATGGTGGTAAAGTCCAAATCTGGCCATTCCATTCTCATTGATAAGACTAGATTACCATAGTAATCCTGGCATACTTCTTTCATTTCACCTCTATTTGTTGTACTTCCAATTTTATCTATAATTGCTCTGGGGGATGACCTAGTTTAGTTTTCCATTAGCTAAACTCTAAGAAATGGTGATTATCAGAGAAAATTCTTTACTTTTATTCGTTTCCTATTTTTCCAAAGTTAGCCACTTACTTGAATAAGTCAAATTGGACTTGTTATATTTGAATGCAATATTGTCACATCTTTAGTGTTTTTCCTAATTTTATATTAAGTGTTGCCTTTACTTTGACAAGCTGATGATTTGATTACAAAGTCACCTGATTCTGAAGTGTTCCCAAGTCAATCATCTGTCATTGTTGACTATTAAGATATAATTAATTTTATTTTCTTCTATGATTTTGTACAGTGATCACTATGTCCAGTACCTTCTAGCTCTCTTCCCAAAGAGAGTATTATGACATATAGTCATGCAGACTCTGAATAATGTATCATCTTTTGGCCTCCTTCATATCTTAATACTGAGTCATATTTTCCAATATATTTTTGTCATCTTCCCCTGTGCCTGCCTTCTCACTAAAGTCACCAAGTATCCAGATATGCGTTGACCTGATTTGGAGGATTTTATCAAGTTCTTTGTAGATTTTCTCTATTCTTCATTCTCTGTGACAGCTGCTGGCACATAAATTACAATTATCTTCATGGGTCCCCTTGCCTTCATGAGTGCAAAGTGAGAGGAACAGATGTTTCATGAAATAATGTTTCTTATTATTCTTGAATGCACAAAATGAAACCAGTTCTAGCAACTTCTTTGTTCCTCTCTCCAAGAAGAAACTGTGAGCTGTCCTTCCATTTAAAGGCAATTTCTTTATGTCCTCTGGTTGCATTTATAAGAAAAATGTAATTTAGTATATTTAGGGATACACCATCTCAGTCATTGAACAAGATTCTCACAAAGTTCTAACACTTTTTTGGTGTTAGAGTACCAACCAACAGCTACATAAATGTTTGTAAGTGATTTAAAAACTGTGATTCTTAGCACTTTCTGCTTGGTTTTCTGAATAAGACAGCTCTACAAAATATTAAGAACTACTTTATATTTTTATGATTTATGTTGTCATGGCTAGACAATTCATTTATTGCCAACCTATGGGTGATGAACTCTTTGATACTTAACTACAGATGGTCCTATGGGAGCAGACATAGTCTGTTATCAAGCCTATTATACTCAAGGCTTTTCTAGCTTGATAGGACCTGCCAAAGCTTGCATTCCATTGGCACATATTTTTAGAGACTAGGGTCATTTGAATACCGTAATGAGATACTGGAATAGTAACTTGCTGAAGGAAAATTATAAACCTGAGGAAAATTCTTTTACCCTAACACAAGCACCTGAGTGTATGAAGTGGTAGTTCAGTGGACACACCAGAGTATGTTGACTGCTCAGAGCTCTCAAAATGCCTATTTGGTGCAAAAATCACATGATAGATTTAGAAAGTCAGCAGAGGTGGTAAGACCAGATTGAAATCATGATCTAAATCTAAGCACCAGGAATATGATGTTAGATTCAAGATGTGGGCTGAGTTGTTTTTCTGGACTACATTGTTGCTACCTCCATCCCCCAACCTTGTCCACCACAAATCTCCTAAAACAATTTTTCTCCCCTTTATTGGTCACCAACATTTTAGGTTTCCCCCCTGACCAAAGGAACGGAGATAAAGAATTTGTAATAAGGAGAGCTGCAACCAACCGAGTATTGAATGTCCTTCGACACTGGGTCTCAAAGCATTCTCAGGTAAGATTTTTTTCTTCCATGAAGCCAAAATGCTTGATGATATGTTGAGGCCAGATTACAGCTGGGAAGAATTAAGAATCATCCTCAAGTAATCAGACATTATCTGAAATATTTCTCAACAGATCTATCTCAAACAATCTACTACCATCAGTATGAAAGAAAGGAAGATGAGAATTTGACCTTTTTATTTTTGTTTATGAAAAAGGAGTATAATTTTTAAAAAATAAGCAGTTGCAATTATAGAAAATAACAAGGCGGGGGCAGCTAGGTGGTGCAGTAGATAGAGCACCAGCCCTGAAGTCAGGAGGACCTGAGTTCAAATCTGGCCTCAGACCAAACACTTGACATTTACTAGCTGTGTGACCCTGGGCAAGTCACTTAACCCCAATAGCCAAAAAAGAAAAAAGAAAATAACAAGGCCAAACCATATCTCTACTACCCCCACACCTGCAGCAGTGGTAAAGTTTTCTCCTTGTCAGAGCTCTAGAGGATAGAACTAAAAGGCAAATATAAAAAGCAATAATTATTTGGTATTTCTGTAACATCTTTCACCCAAATATCTCTAAGTAACTAATAATTCATTTGCACTGTGCACCTCTTACATGGAGTAGGAAGATTATATCTATGTGTTATTCACCATTAATCCACTGGCATCGGTGACAAATCTACAAAGAGAGGCCAGGAGTCTTCCTTTCCTGCCCTGTGCCAGAACAATTAGATAACATTCCCATCTTTCCTTCATGTTATAATTTTATGCCAATTAAGGCCATTTTTTAAAATAATTTAAAATTTTTCACTCTAAATATTCTTGGCAGGATTTTGAAACCAACGATGAACTAAAATTTAAGGTTATTAGTTTTCTGGAAGAAGTCATTCATGACCCTGAACTTTTGACCCAAGAAAGAAAAGCAGCTGCCAATATTATAAGGTAACGTTTTATGAGCCCACTTTAGCAGATCCAAGAACACTTTTGTGTTCAAGATTCTGGACTCTTATTTTGGGTGAAACAAGTGAAGGGCCCTTTTCTGGAACTGGTAAAATGTTTTTGTGATTGTCACACGTGTTGCTGCCTGGCTGGAAATGGATTGAAATTGGATTGAAATTGAAATTGGACTGCAGTTGGTGGGAGGGGGACCTTTGAGGATCTGATGGGTGAGTAGCCATCCATTCCAATGGGTGAGTAGCCATCCATTATCACCTTCATGTCTATATGAGAGAACACACTCTGTGCTCCTGTCCTGAAAGGGTTACCATGCCCCTTCTTTATTCCTCCTTTACATTTATCAGTTCTCTCCCATAATCACTGAATCTCAAAGTCGGAAAGGACTTCAGAGGCTATCTAGTACAACCCACATCTGGACAAGAATCTTTCTATAAAGTCCCCAACAAGCAGTCATCAATCCTTTGCCTTCAGACCTCTGGTGAACCTCCCAAGGCAGTCTATTCTACTTTTGGACAACTTCAATTGCTCCTTTTAATGGAGGGCGATTTTCTCTAGAAAGAAATATTTGTTTAAATGGAATCATTTAAGCCACTATCTGGGTGACTTACTAGGCAACATCAGTCTAATTTCATCATTGGTCAGGTGTCTCTATAATTATAATTAAAGGAAATACGAAAGATTACTTAAATTGTCACAAGTACCAAGTTTCAAAATTGCAATGAAAGAAAATCAGTTACAGAAAGACCTTTCTGAAACCTACTGGTCAGAGCAGACCTTTAAGAGGTTAAAGTAAAGTCATAATTAAATATATTGATGGAGTGCTCATTTTCTCTTCCTAAAGTTGGAATAGAAACATTGACCTTTCCTTTCTCCTATATTCAACCTTAAATCAGCTCCATATAGTAGCAGTTCATGGGGCCCTTCCCACCTGTACAATCCCTGTCCACATCATTCCAATCCATAATTCTTAACCTACCAAAGAAACCATTGTGGCTCAAATTGCAAACAGGGTACTAAAGAAATAGTTCCATTTCCTCAGTATTCATTAGATTAGAAGGCATAAATGTTGAGAGAGAGAGAGAAAGAGAGAGAGAGAGAGAGAAGGGGGAAGGAAGGAAGGAAGGAAAGAAGGAAAGAAGGAAGGAAGGAAGGAAGGAAGGAAGGAAGGAAGGAAGGAAGGAA